TACTATAAATATCTATATAGTATTAAGTAAATTTTTATATATATATAGGGATTATACGTACGTAATTTCAATAAAAAGGGGGGGCGGATGCTGTTAATGTAACGGACTGTACCCCTCCCGCCCTCACTCGCTTGGCTCTTTGTTCTATACCATTGCCCGCTCTCCGCACTCTCCTGAGTCCACGAGTAGGTTGATGTTAGTTGATCAAAGCTTTACTTTGGGGTTTCTGTTGTGCGATTATGAATGCTTCCTTCTCGGTGTCAAAAAAATAGCACAGCGACAACTCTGTCATTGAAAAGCTGAACGCTGATTGAGGCAGAACAAGCTGAAAACCACACGGAGCCAACGACTGTGTATGTCAATATTCCGCTACAGCAGAGTCCCCACTGCTTTTGGGATGTCACATGATCTTACATGGCGGGGAGAAACGCCTTGAAGCGCACAGCCTGATTTCCATCGTCCACTGCAGCCGTCTCCATGCCAAATTCGAACAGTAGATCCGGCGTGTGTCTGCACTCAAGACTAGCACCAAGCCAGTGCTCGAATTACACCCATCAGCTTTGACCGTCGTGGAATGCAATGGACACGTCTTTGAGGAGCCAGTCCAGAGAGCCGTTTTTCGGCCAGCAGTCCCAAAATGCCATCGAAGTTGCGGCTGCGCAATGTCGGGATTTGCTGCACCAAAGCACACATTTCCCGGTATTAATGGAACTGGAGTGGGCTGAGAATCGCTTGGCCGAGTTCAAATTGTGGACAGCGACCACCGGCGCACTAGCAGGTGGCGCCGCATCACTCGATGCGAGGTTGGCAACACAGTCGGAAACGAAGAGCTTAGTCCAAGGTATTCTGATTCTATTGACGGAATGTCTCAGAAAATGTCAGAGGACCGGTAAGTGATCGCAACGTTTGAACGAGCCTTCCAGCAACCTCTCACATCGCTTCAACAGCTCTCCATTCCGAGCAAGGGACAAGCCTAACGGAAAAGATGGACAAACAAGATGGTGTCAACGAAGATGAGGACGACGACGATTGGTTGGACGACGAACCCGAAGAGGTGGACTCTCGGCGAACTAATGACGATCCAAGAAACATACCGCGCGGGTTTTCGCCTTGGTCCGAGTCAGACGATTCTTCATCCATTTCACCATCTGACGAAGCTTCATTGACAGAGATCGGCTCCCCACTTGTTGAAGCTCAAATCGAAGTTGAGCAGATTATCAACCACCTGGCGCGAATCGCTATAGCTATTCGAAAGGCGGGGACTAGCTCACGTTTACATAAGGCTGACAGAACGTTCAACCCGGGCAACCATGGAAAACTTCGGAAGCACCTGGAGCTTGTCGTCTTGGCCAGGGTGTGTGAAGACGGGCTTAGTAGTTATGTTATTGATAGTGCAACTCTCACACCCGTACAAGAGCGTCTGATCCTGGCAAACTTGCGTCGGAGGCACAGGTACTCGTATGCCCAGAAGCACGCCAAGAAGCTGGCCGCCGATACCACTAGTTCCAACGAGAGAGACTGCGTCCCGGTTACTCCCAAGATTCTGGTTACCACTCACAAGGAGCCAGACACCAGGTCGTCAGCCAATACGCGCACTACCAAGACCAACCCCCCGCAAGTACTGGACGATGACGAAGACAACATGCCCACGCAACACACAGTGTTGACGGCGTCCTCGGCGTCAGGAATTGCTCAAACTATCGACAGTGTCCCCGAGCGGACTCTCACTCCATCGATGGTCGCCAAGACGAATATCACAACGACAGCAGCTAAGATCCTTTATCCAAAACCTCCAAGGATGAAAGTGCTTCGTTATTTCAGATGTCCCTGTTGCTCTCAAACTCTATGAGAATTGTATGGGGCAAACACGTTATGGAAGTAAGTACCAACGTGGTTTTCGTCTGTGGCCCTTTGCCAACACAAGGCCACCTCTGACAGTGAGCCTCCCCCTAGAAAACATCTTATGGCCGATGTTTGCCCTTACATCTGCATTTTGGACGATTGTCCTAGGCCTGGGAGACTGTATGTCACACGACTTGAATGGGCCAGACACATTGAGAAGGAGCATGGGCAGTGCTGGCAATGTCCCGCCTGTTCAGGCCCAGGGAGACCAGTAGTCATTTTCCCCTCTATTGAGGTCTTCCGCGAACATCTGCGGCACGATCACGGCGGAGACATCAACGATGAGCAACACTCGACCATAGTGAAAGACTCGGCCCGGCCTGCCCCTCGTGGAATACGTAGGTGTCCGCTATGCGATTTCCCTGATGGGGTCGAGTGTCCGGAGTCTTTCGTGGCGGATTCTGCTGGACTTCTTGACCATATCGCCGAGCATTTGCATGGTTTTGCTCTTCGGTCCCTTCCTTGGCCCAGAGATGGTTCTGAGGAAGGGCATGAGGCTGGAGATCCCGACGACCCACAGATTGATGACGAGGACTACTTCGACCAGGGATCCGATAATGATTCTCAGCAGGACATGACTAATGATTCGGACAGAGACTTTGACGGTTTATCCTCTCTCAGCTCAGAATCAGATGACGATTCTGTTGAGACCGAGACACCTATTGATCGCGTTGTTAACTCTAGTTAGTAATATGTCTCGTCGTCGCATGTATAGCCTAACATATTTTCAGTCCAGTCCGATTTCGACAACGCACAAAAGTATCCGGATAGTGCGGAGGCCATCACAACTGAAATCTAGGAAAAACAACGAATGGATCAACTACAACGCTGGCTATTGCCTACCGATTCATCAAGCAATCTTGCTGCGGCAAGGGCGTGCCGCCATGAAGGTACGGGAGCCTGGTTTCTTGAAGGCGCTGGCCTCTCCGACTGGAAGACTGGAAAATTCCAACACTTGTGTCTTTACGGTCTTCCAGGGTGTGGCAAAACCATCCTTGCTGCAACCCTTTTTGAGCATCTCCAACGGACAGACCTTCGCCTCACTGTAGGCTTTATTTTTGACTTCAAGGACTCCAGGAAGAGAACATTCGAGGACTTCCTTCGCTCAATAACATGGCAGCTTTACGGGACTGCCGATGAGACCACGAGGTGTCTTGATATGCTTCACTCAGCTTGTGATGATGGCCAAAGTCAGCCACATCCATCTCAACTGGCGAGTTGTGTCGAGGCAATGTTGCAGTCATCTCGCGGAGCCAGTCTTGTAATAGACGGTTTGGATGATTGTTCTGATGCAACAGAACTCGTTCAATGGATTCGGCCATTGTCCTCTGGCCCAGAATTCGCCCATATAAAGTTGGTCTTGACTGTCCGCCAGCACTCCATATTATTCAGAGACATCTCAAACGCTACCGATGACATCAACTACGTGCAACTCGATAAGCACACAATCGGAAATGACATCAACGCCTATGTCACCAGCTGGCTCGAAGGCTCAAGATTGAATTGGAAGTACTCCCAGGCCCAGCTTCATCGTATACGTGAAAGGGTCATCGCTAGAGCCGACGGCATGTGAGTTGGCACCTCAGACGCGTGTAGAGTACTGAAACTGAATTGTTTGCTAATGGTATACGCAGATTCTTGATGGCCACACACGGCATGAAAGACGTCCTTCAATGTCATGATTATGAAATCATCGAAGACTCGTTCACAGTTCCACAAGATCTAATTGATATCTACCGCACTGGGCTCGAAACGCATTCCAGCCCAATGGAACGGGATCGCCTTTTTCAATTCCTCGTCCATGCACAGCAGCCCTTGATCCTAGATGAAGCAATTGACATCTTGGCTACGGGAACATCACACTTTCGAGAAAAGGACAGAATAAGAGACCCCGATCATCTCCCATGGTTATATTCACCATTCCTATTTACCAGCCTCGTCTCCACTCCGAACGGAAACTCAAAACAGGTTCACTTCATCAACATCACGGCAAAAGAGTACCTTTTGAGCAAACCTGAATTTGAGCTTAAGCTGGCCAGTTTTTCAATCACCAGGACCTGTCTCGTATATCTCAAATCCGTCAAAGGCAGTCTAGAGGAAGTGTTGAGAGACTTCCCCCTGGCAAGGCGAGCGATGACTATGTTAATGGTCCATGCTAGGTTCACTGAGAATAGCAACATCTTCTTCGAAGAGCTATACACGCTCTTCCAAGACGGGACAAGGTTTGATATGTGGTGCCGTGTGTTTCCAAACTCCGGGAGTCAGAAGAGACACACTTCCAACGTGTGGCACCAATTGTTCCCCAACGCTATGAGGAACAACGTGTCGCCTTTATACTACACCTGCAAGGCCGGACTGTTCAGGCTCTCCAGAAGGCTGCTGGAGGACGGTATGGACGCCAATGCCTGGAGCGAACCGCATCTAAGCGCCATTTATGCTGCTTCACAAGAAGGCTTCAATGACATCATTGAGCTCCTACTTGTATTCGGCGCCGACGCATACGAAGAATACGATCCTCCATGCAGCCCTCTTCAGATAGCCGCCGAAAACGGACATGTTCACACTGTGAAGCTTTTGCTCGACAGAGGCCAACGGAAGATAGAGCAGGAACTACGTGACCATGCCCTCGCATCGGCCTCATCCAGGGGACATGTGGAAATTGTTGGCCTTCTGTTGGGACACGGAGCAGATGTCAATGTACGAATCGGTTCCGGTGGTAATGCGTTCTGCGAAGCTTCGCGGAATGGCCATGTTGGTGTCGTTGAGTATCTGCTAGACCGCAAACGCAGGGATCCGACCCTCGAACCACAAGGCCGCTCATGGGATGACGCTATTTGGGCTGCCTCTGTAGGAGGCCACGATAAGGTTGTACAACTACTCCGTAATGAGAGACTTTGTCTAGCGGCGTCGGGTGGTGACTACGACATGGTCGAAGCCCTACTCAATGAAGGTGCCAATCCCAACACGAGCGGCCGTGGTCAACGGAACGCCTTGCAGTCTGCTGTGGACAAAGAATACGCCGGGATCGTCAAGGCCTTGCTTGAGAAAGGCGCGGATCCTGACGGACGTGGTCGTCATTACACCAGCGCCTTGGAATCGGCCGTGAACAAGGAGAACTTAGAGCTTGTGGAGATGTTGCTCGAGAAGGGCGCGAAGGTCTATACCTATATGATGGAGTTCTACGAGCGCCAGTCGTGGCATCGGGGCCAAGAGATACTGCATCTATTGCGCGAACATGTGTAAGCTTGGCGGTCTGGGTTCTTGTGTTGACTGATGGTCGGCCAAGCTAGACACAAGAATTCGTCGACCGCAGACTAACGTCAGCATGGCTCGTAGTTTACATCAAACCAGCCTTCATCCCGAGTATTTGATCTTACATTTAGACTAGTGATAAGATTCAATATGAAGAATTTAGAAATATCACAAACCTCGATATTAGCGTTGTTTAGTAGTCGATAGTACCTTCGTATCGTTCTGTCTGTCTGGCTTGACTTCTCCTTGGCAATGTTGCGGTATTCTCAAACAAAACTCCATAGATCTTGTTCAGCTGCAGACAACAAGGTAAAAGGGTGATCCCAGAATGAACGTAGTATCCTCAGGATGCCAGAGAAGCTCGACATCCAACAGCATACTCAACTTCGGGTATTACACACCGCAAGTCTCCACCAATTTCGATTCTTTGCAGAGGCAAAAAGCTGGACCATGACAGCTTCCAGAGGCCACATGTGGTTAACAGTACCACATAGCATTATTGTCAACGTCTCACTGTGCATAGCTCAAGCACGCTTCACTCCAAGGACATCAGGTTCCGCTACATCAAACCTGACATACCATGCCACACTCGCAAGAACCATGATCCGGAACACATCACTCCATGTCCCAAGAAAATCCTCCCAGAAACCGCTGTCCAGCACCACCCACTCCCAAAGATCGTCACTTGGGCAGCGGTCCTCATGCGCCCAACGCAACACTCCGCCGGGAATGCTCACCTTGGGGGACCTCAAAGGCTAAACTGTGGGACTCTCATCAGACAATGATGGCGCGGCTTGGAGCATCCGTACGGGTTCCCTCCATCGGCGTCGATTCGCGGGATGAGACATGCCTGCTCCCGTGTGGAGGAGAGGCCCCCCATCGGAGCCGCCCTCGTCCCCTCGGCGGGGGTGTTGGTGTGACGATCGCCTTGGGAAATTTCAGGTTGTGGGAGCGAATAGGGCTCCGTCGACCTGGGCAAAGTTCCAATGCTAATGCCACTCATCTATAATGCTGTCCTGGTGCATGAGCTGACAACTGACAACGTCAATGGCAGACGTTGGCCCGAGGACGTTTGGTCTGAGCTGTCCCGAGCTCCTGGGAAAACCAGGCGCATGTTACAAGGGAGGAAAACAAGCTGGGCAATGCCCGCCCTGACCACAATGACTTCATTGTGGACATTGCAGCCGCGCGAATGTGGAAACGGTTTGATGACATCTTTCCGCGGAAGCGGCAAAGCCAAGGCAAACGGGTCCCGACGTGTCCAAACGGTTTGCCATTGCTTCTACGCTGAGAGGGCGATAGTGAAGGGCGATCAAGACGTCAGGGAGGCAATCTTCGTTTCAGAAGACGACCTGCGGGTGTGGCTCGCTGATTAATGACGCCGAAACGGTCATCTGAGAAGTGATTCACGCCCGTTTGTCTGAGACGGTGATGGCCAATCGGTTGACGAATTCATGTCCTCATCAGATGGCCAGCCACGTGCCGACGTCAGCCTTGTGCTGTTTCTTGTCCACCTCCTTGTGCGAGCGTGTGTGAAGGCATGCTGGTCAATCGGCAGAATGACGTCAAGTGTGGTTTTGCATGGTGTTGAAGGTGCTTTGCGACTTGGGGCACCTGCAGTAATGCAGCACTAGGCAGCTGGGAGCGCTATCCACCAAGGGGGGCATTCCACTTGGCGACGATCATTTCGCGAACAGAACGACGAGGTGTTGCATCAAATGGTTGTTGGCTTCCGAACCGCAGGCTGCACTTCGTGACAAGACGAGGCTTTCCGCCGGCTACCGCAATCTAGGCGGGTATTTGGTTAATGAAGGTCACATTTGAAGCAAAATCAAATCGTCAGCATCAAGAGAGCTGAAAGACAGGCGACTATTCAACTCGCTGTTATACACAGGTTGTGATTGGTGTTGAAGCCTGGCAGCGAAGCGGATGTCTTCCCCAGAGCTGAGGTCACGAGCATGGGCCAGCCAAGGCAGGCCCAACATGGGTGCAACACGAAGAACCCGGAATTTGCGACCGAGAATCTGAAATCTGAGCATCAACCGGCTACGACTGCAAGGTCAGAGCGGCCAGATTCCCGAGAGGTAAGATTCTGCTTCGATTCGCATCGGAAGAATGGAGCACGGAGCCTGCGGAATGCTGAGCGAAGCGATGGGAAGGGCCGCTGGCAAGATGTCTCGTGACGGGACGAGATTTGACGACGTTGAGAAGCGGCGAGACACTTGCATTCGGAGGGGTGGCTAGTATCGAAGGGAGTGTGGCTGCCATTGCTGCAGAAAGGGTCCTTGAGGTTCAAGGCAAGGCAGGCAGGCATTCAGGGCATCGCCGACTCGCCGGCAATAGACGCTGGCCAGGATTGATGACGAAAGGGGGTTGGCTCGAGCGGGGCGGGGTCTGGACCGATCCATGAGGCGCTCCGGGCGATTCTGTCTCTGGGATCGGAATGCTGAAAGCGTGTATGGTGCATATCTGATCCGTGACCTCAACGTAGGTGCTTGGAGCTATCGTTAGTTGTTAAGACCACGATGCGATCGATGGTCAGAGACGGTGGTGGTTGCCAGCTGCAGGTCCGAGGTGAGGGCCTCGGCGGCACGGCGAACGACGTGAGCCGCACTGGGCCAGTTGGAGAAGCAGTTGGAGCAGGGAAACCTGGATGCTGTGAGGTCACTTTTGGTAGAATTAGGCAGGTAAATGTAGAGCCCGAGCGTACGAGAACGCGACCAAACCAATCGTGACTGAGAAGCAACATAGTTCCCGCGTCGTCGCGTGGATGACGGCGGGATGGACGAGCGAGACATTGTAGTTCTCTCGGGACGGAGAGAGGGACGGAGACGTGTCTCCAGATGGTTAGACAACGGCATCGACGGTACCCTTTGGTACCTCCATCGTGGTAGCCGTCAATCAGAGACGTCGGTAGTGAAATGAGAGTGGCGTGCGTGGCTTGCGCATCGTTGCGCATCGTCATTTCGAGGCATGTGGTTAGTCGCGGGGTGTTTCGGGGCGGCAGACTGAAAACACGGGATGATTGGCGGCATCAACCAACAGAACGGAAGCAACGATGCGGGATGACGGACGGCTGGACGGGCCTTGAAGCTGAAGGGAGACACCGGAGTGGATGTTCAGAGGAGTGTGAAGAAGAAGACCGAGAATCCCTTCAACAGCTGGGAATGCAACATGGAACCAAGCCAGGCAAGGCCAGGGCAAATGGGCAGCGGCAGAAAAAAGATGGGATGGCCTGGAGAGGGAATGAATCATGGGCCTGGCCTGCGACGGCCCAATGGCCTGAGGCAAAAGGGCTGCCCCACTGTTACCCCCCAATGATGCGGCGACGTCGTCGATGACATCCTTGCCATTTGCGGACATGACGATGGAGAAGACGTCATTACGGGGGCCCCCCATCCAAGCGAGTGGGAAGGAGCCACTGATTATGGACGGCGGCCAGCAGCCTAAGCTGGGGGCTAAGCACCTGAACCTGGCTGCAACCGGCTGCTGGGGACTCAGTTCTGGGTGGTGGTGGTGGGTGGGAGTGGGAGTGGGAGGAGCAGACAAGGCGGCACGAGCAGCAGAAGAAAAAGAAGCATGCGGGCTGCACTCAAAACATGGAAATGGGAGATCGGAAAACATGGGGGAGTGAGGGAAAATAGCACTCTCCAGTCGCCAAATTTCTTTTGCATCGCCAACGGCCCCTGCCCCTGCGCTGTGGTGTTTTGGGAGGAGGATTGGAGATGTCGGATATTTGTAGACGACTGCCAGGATCCAGCATCGCTGGCTTTGTCGCTCTATCTGACACTGCCGTCAGAGGCGCCAATACATGATGTCTGCGATGCCCCTTTGCGTCCAGTCGACGCTACGGGAGGCTAGCGCCCTTGACGCCCCTGATAACCGGCAGTACACGTACACTACCTATCAAGCTGGCACGAACTGGCATTAGCAGAATATGGTGGCCTACCTATCCGGACAGTGCCGCAACGATGTGTGTCGTGCTGCAGGATTTCATGTTGCCTCGTCTCATGTCTGGCACTCTGGGAGGGAAGTGGAAGTGCTGAAGATGATGCTGAAGCGCTGCAGCCATGTGCCCGTCCCAGGTGTTGGTTTCCGCGGGATGCAAGAAATGCCTAGGAGGTACTCTGTGTTGCTGGCGTCCGGTTCCAACCCTCCAAAACCCCTTGCCTGCCTGTTGCCTGTACCCTGCCCAACACGCCCAATTCTGGGTCCGTCCCGGCAAGTGACCGAATGGGTCTGGGGTTCGGAGTGACCACCGATGGTGGAAGCAATCCGATCATGAAACGCCCGGTTTTTGATGAAAACATCACGGTCTCTTATCTGAGAAGAAAGAAGCTGGGGATGCGGAAGGTGCTGATCAGACAGTAGCCGAAGGGAAGGAACACCCAGGAGGTACTTTCCTCGTGACGACTTCATGATGAATCAAAAAGAGGGCGGCAGGTACAAGGAGCAGTTGCCAGTTACTGCGAGGGAAGAGCGAGAAAAGTACCTGCCTGCACCGACGGGCTCCCGAGTCCCATCCTGCCTTCCATCTTGGAAAGTGTCCAGAAATGTGCCTGCTCCAGCCATTCAGCCATCAAAGCGTCCAGAAGAAATGACCCGCTTTGGGGCGACGCTGCAGGTGCAGGTGCAGGTGCAGGCTGGCGCGGATGCAAATGCGCAGCCCACCACACCTGACTGACTGCCTGGCAAGACGAGACGAGACAGCACTGCAAGAAACAGCAAAAAAAAAAAAAAAAAAAAAAAAAAAAGNGCAAAAAAAAAAAAAAAAAAAAAAAAAAAAAAAAAAATACTGAGGCTTGAGGGGTAAAAGGAAGGGAAAGAAGGCCTCCGCCCGCGTCGCCTTCCCAATCGTGAGTGAGGTTCTTGCCGCCTGTTCTTGAGGCTGTCGGTGTCTGTGCACTGACTGAGGCGCTCCTGCTTGACTGGATTGACTGACTGAGGTTGCCGTTGATGTTGCTCCTGCTCCTGCTCGAGCTCCAGCTGCTCTTTCCCCACTGATGCCACTTGCGACTGACTGACTGCCCGGTGCTGCTGTTCCTGCCAGATGAATGACTGAGACTGACTGAATCCTCGTCTGCTCTTCCCTTTCTTCTCCCACTCCTCCTCTCCCTCTCTTCCTCGCACCCGACTCTCGCGCGCTTTCCAACTTCCATTGCACCTCACTCCCGTCCCGTCGCCTGGCTGCACCTCCCCCCCTCGTCCCTGTACGGATACCTCGACTTGTTCGACCTCCGAACCCGAACCTGCACCTTGCACATCTGCACCTGAACTGAACCAGTCCAGTCTCCAGAACCTCACTGCCTCCCACACACACCACACCACACACTCGAAATACCTGCGTGCTGCCCTCACACTCACACCCTCCACGTCTCTCACACACCTCAATCTTACGCTGCCTTCCCACCTCTGTCATCATCGGTCACCGTTACCGAGGACCTAAAATCCAGTCGTTGCGCACCGCACACCGTCATCGCCAGGCTTTGGCCCTTGCCTTGTCTACCTAAACCTTCCACCCCCCCGGTCGCAGATTCCCCCTTCCCACCCTGCTTGGTCTCGCTCTCAATTACGCAGCACCGCGCTAAACAACCTTACCTACCTCACCACCAAGGGCAAAAAATACACGCTACGCTACCGACCTGTCCTTGCACGCACGCCGCCGACGCTACGCCTGCTTTGGCCCAGTTCCAATTCCAGACGCCGCAGACAAACGTGCTCCAGCCCGCTTCCCGCCCGATCGTCCTGTTCCTCCAACTTCCGTCATCCGAGTCCACGTTGCCCCTCAGCAACATCATCACCACCCAGCCCGCAGTCCACAAATCTCTACTTTTCGCTTCAATTTCTCCCTTTCAGCCGCCCTTCCCCCCCGAACATCAAAGAAACAACCTTGCATTTTCCTCTCTCTCGATACTTTCTGCTTTCCTCCCGAGTCGACTTCCATTCCACAACTACTTGGCTGGTACTGCATGTAGCACATTGCACAGAGCTCCTCTCCACGACTCGTACTCGCTCCGCATTACCAATCACAAGAAAGAGACACCCCTCGATCCGGGGCTGCGAGACTGATCACGCTGCCACTCGTTGCGACCTGCGAACACCGATACAACCCCGCGAATACCTTCATATTCCCGTCGCTGCCCATCAGTGACCCCCTCCGCCGACATGTCGACGATACAACAACTCAAGAACTTCATCCGCCACGGTACGATCAACTCCACTGCCCCTAATTCGTCTCCCCGCCTCTGCTCGCGGCCGCTGGTTGTCGACATTGACACTCGAAATCCCGCTCGCTGCTCTTTGATGAAACATAACTGACAACATTTGTAGGCAAGCAAGCCCGCGCAGCGAACAATGACGAGGCGGTAGCAAAGTCACACAACTCCCCTCCACCAAAGGCACACATGGGTATCTCCGAGCCAGTAGTCGGCGCTCCCCCCGCGGCAGCAGTTCCCGACGCATATTCGGTCGCTGGTGACGGTCAGAACCGCGCCGCTCAAGCCGGCCATGCCGCTGCCCACGCCGTCGAGCCAAATCAGAACAAGGCCAAGTCTAAGAACATCGACAACACGCACCTCGCAAAGATTATAGCCGAAGAGAACGAGAGCAAGAGCAAATTCCCAAGATACCCCGGCCTCGAGAGATGGGAGCTGGTAGAGAAGATGGGCGACGGCGCCTTCAGCAATGTCTACCGTGCGAAGGACACAACGGGCGAGCATGGCGGCGAATGCGCCATCAAGGTCGTCCGCAAGTACGAAATGAACAGCATGCAGGTGAGTTGATGCTTGGGTGGTTTTCGGCCGCAGCCATGTTTTTCTTGTTTTTCGTTTCGTGCACTTGCTTTTCGTACGTTGGTTTTTCCAATCACTCCATACCAACAAAGGCCGATTTAGGGTAACAAGCATCTTCACCCGGACTTCAAGAAAGTCCCCAAAGCCGCAGAGGTGCGAAACTTTTCAATATTTCATTTGTTTACACATCGGGCCATCCTCAATTTCTCTTCGACTCATTTGTTGCTCTGTTCAATGTTCGGAGGATGGCCCTCCATACATACCACAGACGCCGTTACTGACCCGAGGCCAGAGAGCGAATATCCTGAAAGAGGTTCAGATTATGCGCCAACTGGACCACCCCAACATCATTAAGCTCATCGATTTCTCCGAATCAAGACAATACTACTACATCATCCTGGAATTGGCACCGGGTGGCGAGCTTTTCCACCAGATCGTTCGACTCACCTACTTCAGCGAGGAGCTTTCAAGGCATGTTATCGTCCAGGTGGCTCAGGCCTTGGAGTACTTGCACGAGGAGAGAGGCGTTGTTCACCGGTAAGTAATACTGCGGGTTTTTCTACCGAAAACCGCCGGGTGTGCGTGGCAGACCGACGGAATTCGACTCCCGTGATGCATTGACGTCATCTTCATGTGGCGATTGCTGACAACTCCTCGCACAGTGACATCAAGCCCGAGAATATCCTGTTCAGCCCGATTCCCATTGTTCCGTCGAAGAACCCGAAGCCTAAGCAGCCTGGTGACGAAGACAAGGTCGACGAGGGCGAGTTCATTCCCGGTGTCGGCGCTGGCGGTATCGGCCAGATCAAGATCGCCGATTTTGGCCTTTCCAAGATCGTCTGGGACAATCAGACAATGACGCCATGTGGAACGGTCGGTTACACAGCTCCCGAGATCGTCAAGGATGAGCGGTACTCCAAGTCTGTCGACATGTGGGCACTCGGCTGCGTTTTGTACACCCTTCTCTGCGGTTTCCCGCCATTCTACGACGAGAGCATCGAGGTCTTGACTGAGAAGGTTGCCAAGGGACAGTACACTTTCCTGTCTCCTTGGTGGGACGACATCTCCAAGTCCGCGCAGGATCTCATCTCCCACCTCTTGACCGTCGACCCGGAGAAGCGTTACACCATCACAGAGTTTTTGGCTCACCCGTGGATCAAGGGATCAGGCCCCACACCCCGTGAGGAGAAGAAGACACAGCCTGAGATGCTTCGTGCGTTCGACGCGTCTAAATTCGTCGATGGCGAACGCCGTTACGACTTCCGGTCTCCTGGAGCCGTCAACTTGCGTGAGGTTTTCGATGTTGGCTACGCTGTCCACAGACAAGAGGAGGAGGCCAAGAGGCGCAAGCAAATTGGTACTAAGGGCGGTGTCCCCGCTCGTTTCCTCAACAACCTTAACGAAGAGTCAGAGGATGAAGACCAGGAGATGCCAGACAAGGACGCAGAATATGTGCACAAGCCTTCGCAGGCCACGCAAGCGTTGGAGCAGAGCATGCGCAACGCCCAGATCAAGGATCAACAAGAGCAGCAGCGCGGACGCGAACGCGAACGACAAGCACACCACACCGAGAAGGGGTACGGTCAGCACTCTGCTGCAGTTACCGCCGCAGCTCGTCAGCAGGTCAGGGATCGCAACAGACAAAAGGGTGCTTTCGAGCTAAACCTCGACGGCGCAACACTACTTGGTCGCAGAGCCAAGCAGCCCATGGCGGCAAGCGCTGGCGGGGCATAGGAGCCTCGGACTCCCAGTTGCAGTCCGCCGGGGAGCGATCTTGTTGTTGCGAAACCTCAGCGAGGCGAAGCAGATTTAGAGGGAGGCACGGTATGAACCAATGTGGGTATTCTGGCGTACAGGTTACAGGGAATGGCATTCCTTGGTCAAGTGACTTAAGGACTTTAGCGCAACTCATGAGATGGACGTCGTGGATATCCAAATGTGTCGAAGTCGGTTTTGTTTGTCATTTCTTCTTGGGACGGATTAGCTACGACTTCTATCTCCTTTTTTTGCGGCATCATACATAGGCCCGGAGTTTCATTGGCAACGGGAACATAATTCCTTCTTGCATTCAACAATGAATAAGATTTGCAATTTCAACTCTTCACGTGGTCATGCTAGTCCTTACTCAGTGAAATGACTTGGGGTTCCGCCCCTATAATTCGCGCTGTACATGACGGAAAGTGACGCTGATTGACATATACCTCAACATCAATCGTTCCTCTCTGAAGTTGCACATGAGAATTTGATTAGGAGTGAGAGCTCATCGATTTAGTCGCTTGACCTATTGACGGGTGAATGTCACCGGTTAGTCGGTGTTTGTGATTTTGGCACTCGACTTTCGACATGTGAGTTGTTCTCACTCTGGCTTTTCATGGTAGTATCTCGAGAGGAATGGTTCGGCGATGGGAATAATGAGGAACGACTACGTCTTTCTGGATGATGAGGATTGTTTCACCGCGTATTGTCCAGTCTCGTCGGCTGGGCTGGACACCATGCCGGTCAGACTATCTGACTACCTAGGGGACAAGATCGGCCCATTGTCTTGGGCGGTTGAGATGCATTGAAGTCCATGGCGCGAATTTATGTTTCGGCGTCTTTGGGTATATTTTGGGTGGATACTGTGTGTTGTGGACTTGGTGTGAGGCTGTGCTGCTGTTGAGAAGGCTGATAGGAAGAGTGCGTCCCGTGGATGATATAAAGGGGTGTGGTTTCAGTGAGTGAAGCACGGCAATGCGGCACAAGTGAACTGCGAAGCGATGTCGATTATTGAGCTTAAGATGGGGAGTGCCTTGTCGTCCCAACGCCCGACGTGCACGGCTGATATCAACCTGGGCCGGCACAGCTCTGTTGTTATCTCGATCAAGCTTTGCTCAGTAATAGATCTCAGGATTTGATTTCCATATATCCTCCAGATAGCGGGAACCCTCTGCGAACGCCACCAGAGCATCGTCGGCGATGATTACTTGGCCCCCCTTCCAATTAAACAGCATATCCAACACGCGGTCGCGACGCCCGGCGATCGCGAACCCGCCCCAATAGTACTGGTCGCAACGCACATTGTCATGATCGCATTCTTCGCTACATCTGTTGACAATTACTTCAACAATGTCTTCGGTGATGGTGACGGGGCCACTCTGCTTTCCAAGCAGAAGTGCGTAGATACCATCCAAAGCATTGCTTCCATGTAGGTGAGGTTCCAGCGCAAAGATCTCAGCCGCACCCTCCCGGCGCAGAGCGGGATTGCACCCCTTCCACGAGAAGAGAGCCCTCAACATGTACAGCACATCATCAATGCCCTCCTCCTGCAATTCGGCTGTCCAGACGTCCTGCCTTGCTGCTGCCCAGATCAGACTCTCCGTGACAGTTATCTGGTCTCCCTTGCGCTCGAAAAGAAGTCTAAGCATGACGTCACCCATCCCGAGGTTCCCCACAGCCGCCCTGAGCACGTTCTCGGTGACGACGATTTCATCTCTGCGGTCGAGAAGAAGATCCATCATGGCTCCCCCGCAGTCATTATTGGACGCTGCCGCCGCGAGGACGTTCTCGGTGATTTCGAGGTGGCGCTCTGGCGTGTCTAGCAAGATCTCGAGGGCGTTTGTGTCGTGGAAGGATGCGAGGCCCACGAGACTGGCCTCTGTGGTATCGTAGCTTCTTCTGGACACCGCCATCTCGGCCATCTTCTGCACAGCCTCGACCCTTTGGTCGTCTCCGCGCTCGCGTCGCTTGCGGTAGATCCAGACGAGCTGGTCCATGACTGCAAGTGCGTCGGCGCAGTCTATCTGGGAGGTCTTCTTGAAAACCTCGATTGCAGAATCAAATCGATCGATTGCCTTGAAATAATAGCCCATTTTCGAGTAGAGTAGTCCCACTTCCCTGAGGCGGACCCCTTCTGATGGCCCTGTGTAGTCAATGGCTCGCTCCCGAAGGAAACCATCCAGCTTTGCTTCAGGGCCAGGTTCACCGCGAGAAGCCTCCCAATCCCATACTAGAAGAAAGTTGACGTCGGATGCTGTTCCATCTGCAGAATGATTCAGGGATTTGACGGGCTCCATTCGGCTTTCTGTGTCAGTCTCCTCTTTCACAGCGCTGCCATGTTCGGCGTCACAGCCCTTCTCAGTGCGACTGTTGGCTTGCCCAGTCGACGTTCCATCAGTTACGACCCTACCACCCGTAGTCACCGAATGCTTCGTCTCATTCCTTTTCAGCACGTATTTCCTTTCCCCCCTGTCAAGTTCCTCAAAGCTTGATCTTCTGGATTCAGGCCTGGTCTCTGTCCCCACGCTGTAAGTCCTGGGTCTGCTCTCGGACTGTTCGGCAAGAGCTTGATCAACAACCATAGCTATAATGACGCAGTAGTCGTCGTACACCCTGATGAGCGTCGGCCGGGATGCGCCTTGCAAGAGACAGATGATGTCACCTTCTCCGGCACGCTTTGCCGCGGCCCGGACATTCCAACGGCCTATCCAGCCGCTCTGAAGTCCAGGCACATCCTGCAACTCGACGATGTTCACGGTCTGAGTATCGTCCCACGGATTTCCGGTTTCCACGGACGATACTGTACCAAGAACGCGTCCCTTTGTCTGAATGCATGCTGTTTCGCAACCATTCCAAGTAGATACCGAGGCAGCCTCTGGGACGAAGGTTCTGACGAGCCGGCAGAATAGGTCTTTCCACGATATGCGGTAATCAGGCTTCAGGTCGGGATATGTGTCGGTGCTCATTCCCAGGAGGGCGTAGATTTTGTCTCGACGGTCGGTTGCATTTTGCGTGTGGTACAGGTCAATCAACTCTCCGAGAGCACGTATGCCCAGAGAAAAGACCCCGGGGGTATGGAGTGTCTGTTTGGGCCGGAGAGTTGCCGATTTGATGAGATAGATGGCCGAACGAACACGCGTTTGTGTGGTCCTATCCAATGAACTCAGATCCATCGCACTTAGACCTTGGCAAAACGCATGTCCATCCATCTCCGTGAGATGGCACATGATGAGAACATGCCGAGAGGCGGCCACCTCCTGAAGGACCTGACAGGTATTGTTAGTCTTGACCGTTTTGCCCATGCTTGGGAAGTCGTCTTACCCATATGCGATTGAACCAATTCCGATTAAGAAGCTTTGCGACTCCTGCGCCGTCTTCCACATCGTCAGTGGTGGCCGTGGGCGCCTCGCTTACAGCAAGACTTATGGCCTGGAGCGCCCGGTAGCTTTCGGCCTGCGCAACAAGGTCGAGCTGGTTATCGCCAGTTACCTCTTCCAGCCACACGACGACGCCACTTGCTCTGGCATAGATGTCTGCCATGAGCTGCACTTGGTGGCCCTTTTCATCGGCATCTTTCTGGTTGATGCACATCGCATCTACCCATATGACGCGTTCAAGAAAAGGGTCTCGAAGACGTGCGAGCGCTGCGTGTAGATTGGCGGTGATCTGTAAATACCCTGTACCGGTGAAGACTTTCTGGCTCTCACTGGGAGGTCCCCAGCAGTAGGACAGAGCCTCATACAGATGAGTTCCTTTCCTGTCATCTGTGAGGGGGTAATGGAAGAGCTCGCATTGCAATGGGGCGTCTGCATCTTCGTGAGGCTTCAAGCGCAGTAGACGGATGAACCGCGCGGCAACGGTTGATAGGTGTACGACTGCATGGGAAGTACCCGACCTTGATCTTGTGGATGAGACACCGAGAAAAAAGGGGTGGAGATAAAGCACAGTGTTGAAGATGTAAGCTGATATTTGTTGGAATGTTGGGTTTAGGTCTTGGTGTCTGCTCAGCCTGATCTAATTTCTTGGTGCTTTGCGGAAACGATCCGCGATTGCCTCCGGGGTTGTCTGCAGGACTAGTCCAACTGGCCAATCACAGCCTTGAGCCCAAGAACGGAATACAGTCTGATGCAGGTTTACGGGGCCGTCTCGGCAATTATTACCTGAACTTGATACCCATGATATCACGGAGATCGAGTCACCTATGAATGAGGAAACCCAATTGAAATATGACCAGGTCTTGAGACAGAAGATGAGACCCGTGTTGAAAAGTTCCTCGAGTCTGCTGCAATGATGGCTTAGCCAGCCTGCGTTGGTCTTAGTATGCGGCCGTGGTCTCACACGTACACGGTACACCGCGATATTTGAGATCAAAGAGACGTGAAAGTGCAAAAGTATGGCTCGACGTAACCAACCCACGAATCATTTACTTGAGTGAAGCGGGAACAACGCGATGTCCCATGAAGTTGAAACCGCCAGCGTTATAGAGAAAAGCGTGAGAACGTAGAAAAGTGATAGTGCTTTTGTGAGTGCCCTTACCAGCGAGAATATTGGAGGCTGTTGAACCTTCAAAATGTGCATTCAAACTGATCCGCCAATCCCAGCCACTCCTCCCCAAGAAATGCCTCAACCCCTACCCCGTTCATATTCAAGTCATTATCATACCGCCGTTCAGGTCTTTCTTTGTTCCCCCAGTTAAAAGACTCCAGCATGCCAGCCAACTTGCCAAATACCGCTGCCCTCCCATCCTTCTTTTGCGGAGAACACTTCGACGCATCTTTGAGGTATCGACTTACTTGCCGATACCAACTTACAAGCTTTTCCACACGCTCCTCGTTGTATACCTGTGTCATGAGCCGGGATGAGAGTTTGCGCAGTGAGAGGCACGCATGCATCATCTGGAACAGCTCCGCTAGCGTGAAGCCCGGATAGATGCTTGGCTGAAAGGAAAGAAAATCTTTGAAGTAGAATTCGAGGGCCTGATACGTGTTGAATAAATTCAGTGGGTCTGGAGATGAGGATGAGAGGGTGAATTCCGAGATGGCGAAGGAGGCGTAGGTGAGGTGACATGATGTTACTGCTCTTATGTGTCAGTCGTCGAAGCTCGTATCTGCTTGGGAGGATTCTTACTGAGACTTTCTGCATGGCAAGGGTCCTCGGTGGTGAGCTCATTCAGCTCGCTTTTCAGCACTAAAGCGACGAAGTCCGATGGGGTTTCTGGAGCGAAAGCTTTTGAGTTTGGAGGGGAGTAGAAGACCTTCTCGAGGACTTTGCGGGTCTTGACCATCGATACGAGTGTGAGATCTCCAGGTACGCCTGTGCGTGACAAGTCGTCTAGACAGGTGCCCATGTAAGGCGTCCGGAGGAGCTTATCCGTTCGGCGCATGTATGACGACACGCTGGCCCTCATGCTATCAGCAGGCCCTTTTACGTCATAGAAAACAGCGAGGAGTGAACTTACATGGAGCTGAGATAATAACACGCAATCACGGCCCTCTGCTCCTCGACCGTGTGGGTGGCAGATAGCCAAGGCCGGTGGATTGTCAACCGTAGCATTGCCTCGGGGGTAGTCTGCGGCGGCTGGTTCAGACCCAGATCAAAGACGACTGTGTTTGCAAGCTGGGTGAAAAGGGTTAGGAATGGGCGTTGGTGGACTTGGAAGTTGCCCCTTGAATACAGAGCGATCGTTAGCAGTGTCCAAGATAATGACTGGGGGGGATGCTTGATGTGGTGAGTGAGTACCATGCTATGCAGATGAGGAGGCCTTGTAGGAGCTCCAGGCTTCGTTCTAGGTTGAGAACCATGCGTTGCGCTACTACACTCCGGATCTTGTCGTTGAGTACTGCTTGCGGGAGTGTGTGGGCCTGGGAGACGGAAACGATGCAGAGCCAGAGGAAAGGCCGTTCGTGGCGTAGTGAGCTTGGGGATTGATCAAATGGGAGAGATAGAAAGGGGAGGTGAGGGTGATGAGTTTGGGTGAAGTCTAAGAGGATGCTGTCTTCGTTGATTGATGAGCAGAGCCCGATGACATCTGAGAATATATCACTGTCGGTCTGCGGCGATGGCGTTACTGGCAGCGAGATGTTGTCTGAGGTCAACACTGATCCAACAGATTTTGCATGGGTATTGTTTGTGATTAGAGAGACCAAGCCATCAATCTTTGCTTCCAATTGACTGGATTGAGACGGCCCGTCGCTCGACCCGCTCTTTTGCTTCCGCTTGTTGTTAGATGCAACGCATTCCTTTCCCAGGCGTTGACATCTAAGAAGGGTGAGCTACCATTTCCGATTGAAACAGCTCGAGAATTACCTTTGACAGGGCGATCCCGGAGAAGTTGCGATGCAGCGGGACTTGGTCCTCGAACATTCAGAGCAAGCTGTCCCGTACTGGGCATGTCGTTTACGGGATTGCATGTGCCACCGTGCGAGGCTTTTCTTTCAGCCCGACGCTAGCAAATGTCTCGTGAGTCAATGGATGCTAGGATTCGTTAGCCGAAGACGGAGATGGCAACGGATCATGAGTGCAACTTGTGAGTTGACGTTAGCCGGGGAGTGGAACTGGGAGACGGATAGACCGGCATTGAACGCCGGAACGCCGACCGGAGACGGCATGCAATTCTCCGAACGCCGCCTCGACCTAGGTTCACATGGTGAAGCCGTTTCAGACCACAAACGTATATCTTCTGCACCCATTTCCCACTCGTTCATCTCGTAGTTTTCCATCGGCAAAAGTACCCATTGACAAAGGTCCTGAAATCATTCCCCAAAACCGGCGTCGCAAACGCAGCAGTCATGTCTTCCTGGCAATCACTGTCTTTTTCAACGGCTGTAGTCGTCGCCAGCGTTCTCACGGCTCTCTGCTCCAGAGCTCCAAATGAGGCAACAGATAAATGGGGAACAGACCGTCTCGGCATTTGGGCAACGCCCAAAGCATCATTCGTGCGACGCGTTATTACCGTGGCCATTGGCATATCCCACGCCATTATAGCGTCCTCGTTTCCAACGACCAACTGCATTTGCCGCAACCCCGAAAATATCAATCGCCATCTCTTTACGTGGAACAGATACTCGGCCACCTGCTTGTTTCTCATTATTGGTATCGGTGCGCCGCTTCGCCTTCTAGCGTTTGCCCAGCTTGGGAGGAATTTCACGTTTCAGCTCGCTAAGCCAAGCGGGCTTACCACGACGGGAGTGTATCGATATATTCAGCATCCAGGCTACACGGGGCAAGTGCTTGTTTTGTTGGCGAACCTGGCTTACTTGTTCCGCTGGGATGGGGTTGCCGGGTGTTGGATTTCCCAAAGCTTGCGGGCCCGGTTGGACGGATGGGGCTTGGCTTGCTATGGTGTCGCGGCCTTGGTTATAATGAGGAAAGTTTCGGTAAGGGTACAAGACGAGGAGGAAATGTTGAAGAAGACCTTTGGACAGAAGTGGGTTCGATGGCATTCTGCGACTAAACGATTTGTTCCTGGTTTAATCTAGCCTTCTTGTCGCACATTTTCGCTTCCTTTAAGTAGAACCTTTATATCTTCTGCGCTTGGCTGGATCTTCTGGCTTTCTGTAGGGGCAGAACTTCTAGTTTGACGGCGGAGCCTTGGACTTGAAGCCATTCCCTTACTACGAACTTCAGGCTCTGCTTCAGATCTCATAGTTGACTCTATCGACAGGTTTGACTCAGTATGTGAATCTACTTGAGCATTAGACAATTTGATGTTGTTCAATCTATCGAAGCTTGGCACGACTTTCTGTTGAGGATCATGTCAAAGGTTATTGCAGTGACAGATCCGGATCGTCCTCGCTCTCGTCCGCTGAGCTAAGTTTGGCGCTGTTGACATGCACTTCTCCATTCACATGCTCCACCTCCTTGCCCATTCCGTCGTCTGTTCTGTCCTCAAAGATGTCCTTGACTGACGCCACAAGAAGCTTCCCCACCAGGTCCTTGTACTCGCGGTCCTCAGTCAACATGTCCAATACGAGTTGCTTTTCCTGGCGATCGAGCTCCTCTCTTTGGCGGCGTATTTCTTCTAGCCCGGCTGCCGCACGATCTTCCAACACGTTCTTGCTCATCTCCATGGCTTTGATCTTGCCATCCAACTCCGACTTTAGCTCTTCTAATTGAGCTGCGCGAGCGACATCATTGAGAGCCTCCGCAAGTCCCACCGCCGACTCTAGGAGCCGACTGATACCGCGAGCAGTGGTGCGTAGTCGGTGGACGGCGGTATGTCGAAGTTGGTGAGTCGAAACCAATGCAGACTGGACAGTTACTCCTGACAAGCCCTGGGGGAGCTCTTTGTGGAGGACTCTGGCCCACTTGGTCAACTCTACCGCAGATGCGCAATCCCATCCTCTCTCACTAAGGGCGTCCGGAATGGTTTTGCGAGCAAAGTCAAAGCAACACTCTTCTAAAACGGTCTGAGCCGTAGTCAGAATGGCGTGTTGTGCACCGTATGGTACGTAAGATGGATACAGCGATGGGATGGATGATTTGAGTGAGGTAGGTACTATAGCAGTTTCTGGGGTCATTGTGTTAGAAAAACTGAAGTAGCTGGATCGAAGGGCTTCCGACCAACCTTCAATGCTCACTTCATGCTTCAACGGTCTCGTGAGAAATTCAAGATCATTCGCCTCAGGGATGTCTTCCTCCTCTTCGAAGCGCGCGATCTCGCCAAGGCAATCCGCAACTGATTTTGCCGCGTCCGCTTCCGATGCTTCTCGTTGAGCATCTTGTTGCGGGGATGTCCTGAAAAGCTCAGGAAACTCGACTTTGGCTCGTAGGTCTGACTCGAAAAGCCGATTCTCCAGCAGCTGCTTCACTATATCTGCAAGCCTAACTTCGCCGAATTCCTGGAAGACATGCTTGAGCGGGCCGCGATTGTGAAGAAGTGTTTCTTTGATTTTCTTTGGTTTGCGAAAGAGAGCAGCATCGCCACTGAAGATTGCCCGGCAGGTCCGGTAGACTCGTTGACGCTCCTCCAAGGTGCAGGACATTGTGAAGGAGGGAGATAGACACCGAGGCTCTGATAGCTTTGCCTTGATTGAACCAGATCTGTGTTTTAATACATTTCTTGCCAAGATTTTGCCAGTCACCTTTCGGTAATTCCAGTGTGCATGTGGTCTCACTTTAGTGGAACGCCTTGTCGGCCTCCTGCAGCTGCAGGGGTCATGTCTTAGACATTGAGTTTAAGCGCGCTCGTGAAAGAACCAACTTCAGTGCATGCTCCTCATCCTACCTCTATATTCTTGTCCCGATGTTGCCTACATGTGTGAAATCCTTGGATGTTTTTGATTAAATACATCGTGTGGCCTGAGCCTTTCTTATGCAGGGATTCCAAGGTTTGTGTGCGCGCCGAAGTCCTCAACAATAAGAATTACTACGAGGATGATACGTCTTCCTTTTTCAAGTGATGAGGTAACATATCTTCGACATAATCTCGGGTTGAAATGCCACAATGATCTTAAAGATGCTTTCCAGAATAGGAGTGGGCCGCTTCCCTCATTTGTACTCATAGCAAAAGGGTCCCCCCTGAATGTCCGTCACTTCAGCAACAGTCATATTCCCACTGAAGTTCGGGAAAGACAACGGGTACTGCAGAGTGATGTTCTCGTAGGCGACGTCTCCAAAGAAGTTGACGGGGTAGGCCCATATAACATCAGGTCCGCCAATGTCCGTCTTACGAGCTGGCCAATCTACGACAGTATGGCTGTCAGCAACCAAACTCAAGATTATTTTGGATAACGAAAGATTTGGATGACTAAAGACGGATGCTCTGAGAGCAAAAGGCCACCTACCGATGCGCTGCCACTCGTTCCAGATCTTATCCAGAGCGCCGTGGATGAAGTAGAAAATGGGATCACCGGGCGATGAATACATATCAGCAACCTGCCAGAGTATCTCCAGTTAGCTCGTGAAATAGCCTGCGACAACTTCAGTATGTATGGAGTGGGACTTACGTCTCCAACTGCACCACCGATTCCCAAGTGCATCCCTGCGTGCAGTGTCATGCCGCTAACCTGCATACTGTATCCCTGAATATGCAAGTTGAACTCGTCAAATGAGGTCGCGGACAGGGTCCGGTTGATGACTTCATCACTGAGAGCGCTCGTGATGATGGGTAGGCTGAAATCACGGCGGAGGCAGTGAGGAGTATACTCGAGCGAATACCCTGTATCACGTAGTCGGCATTGTCAGCACCAGTGACTTCATCTCGAAAAGCAAGCAGGAATGCTTACCGAGGCCCATGGGTACGGTGATGTTAGCGAACGGTCCCTCTTGGACGCAGCCTGGATCATCAAGTTAGGGAGTGTCCGCACGAAGACTCAAGGTAAACTTGCCGCCTCCAGATCTTTCTGGGATCTCGATTGGTTTCTGAACTGGGAACTCTTCCGGATCGGTGACATCTTTGATATAGGGCCCATTTCCTCCCACGCCGTAGATGTTATCAAAGACAGGGGACTTTGCGAAACTCTCGGCGGTGTTGTCCAACCCCATGTCCCAGTATGGGAGGCTGCCTTTGTAATCACATTTGGCGCGTAGCTCTGACTCGAAGAGATACAGCATCCAGCGATGCCATCTACTATGTATCAGCCACAAGACTCACGTCGGTCCACCCGGAGGATGTATCGTCGACCCACGGAAGGAATGGGCCCTGTGCCGCAATTCGATCAGCTTGCCCCTTTTTGAACCAATGATTCGACTACATCAAATCTCTGGGTTCACTCACATTGAAATGGACTTGCTTCGTCAAGTAAATGTGCATGCCCTGGAAATCGTCGTATCGGGACTTTGCCCCAGGCCACAGGTCGTTACCCTCCGACGGAAGGGCCATCAGACATTTTATAGAATCAATGTAGTCAAGCCTTTGTTCCAAAGACAGGTGTCGCCATTCGTGTCTGACGAGAGGATTGGTGCAAGCTTCGGTATGTGTGTTGTTGGCGGGGATGGCAGCTGTACCGTGGCACTGGAGGCCTGCGATGGCCAGAAGGACTAAAGAAACGTACCTCATCATGGAAGTTGGGCTTGATAAGCTCCTTCAAAAGACCCAATCAGGTTCAAAGAGAGGCAACGGTGGATGGTAAATTGGAGCGAAGTCTGTTTTGTTGGTGGACATATATACTCGACGCAGATTCTTCCGGCATGCGACTTGGCTGCATGCCATCGGGTTGTGGGATGCAACATTCGCCAACAGCTCATCAGGTTAATACTATCTCCACCCTGCACGAGCGGGCTAGTAGCCATTTTTAGGAAGTCGGAAGGGCCTCCAGATGCACGTTGGTTCGCTCGCGCAGGTCGAGGCAGGTCGTACGACTGTGCGACTTTGGGATTAAGCGGCATTATCATATTTGCAAGATGTAATTATGCTTTACACCACTCTCCCTCAGTCGCTATCGACACAGACAATAAACGCAACTTCTCCTCCTTTATATTTCTCTTAGTACGTACTATTAGTGCGTTATACTAACCTATACTAATTATACTAATACTACCTATTTTCTTCTTTTTCTTTAGCTATAGCTAAAGATAAGGAAATAGCTAGTACTAAACCTCTAGTTATATTAGTAATATAATTCTAATTTATCCTATTACTTATAAAGCTATAGTTACTAAATATTACTACTTTTATAGATTTAAGCCTTTCTTAATAACTTCTTAAAGAGGTTTTACTATTTAAAACTAAGAGAAAATAAACTATATAGAATTTATTATTAGATATTTTTAGAAGTATATTATTACTACTAAACTACTAGAAAGTAATATATAATATATCTATATAGGGACTAATAATAAATTAAAGCTAAACCTCTATTATATAAGGGTTAAGTGAAATTATTTATTTTTAGGATATATTTAATTATATTAGAATAACCCTTATTAATAGCTTCTAAGTATATTTTATAGTATTAAGAGTAGAGAAATAATATTATAAAGTAACTAAATACTTTAAGAAGATCTTTATAATAATTCTCTATTATAACTTTTATAGATAATAACTAGAATTTATTAGCTTTATTAATAACTTTATTATTAGAAATATTAGAATTAGAAGAAACTTAATTAACTTTTAGTTAGGAATAGCTTAATATACTAATTATAGAAATAGTAAATAAGGTATTTAAGACTTAATAGTAATTTATAGTATATAGCTTAGTTAAAGCTAAGTTATAGCTTAAAATAGAGTTTAATAGTTTAAGAATATTAAACTTATAGATAATAGATTCTTTATTAGAATCCTAAAGGATATTAGATCTAGAAATATATACCTATTAATAGTTTATAAGGAGATTAAGGTATACTATAAACTATAGAATAGTAATATTATAAAGATAACTAAGATTTAAATTAGTTTTATATTTACTTTAAACTCTAATAGAACTTAATAGAGAATACTTAGTAGTAGCTCTAAACTATTTAAATTACTTAATATAAGTACTATTAAATAACTTAAGATATAGATTATATATATAGTTTATAATATCCTAATTATAACCTCTAACTTTAGAAGAAAATCTATTAATATAAAGCTAATCCTTATTAATAAGGTCCTTTAGTAGTTAAAACTTAAACTTATAAAGTATATAATAGCTACTTATATTAATAGATAAGCTTTATAAACTTAGATTATTATTTTTAAAAAGATACCTTTAGTTAAGTAGTTTACTCTATAAAATAATAATTATACTATTAAGCTTAAACTAAAAATAAATATTAACTAATACCTAAAATACTTTAATTAGTATAAGTTTAAATTATACTAAAAGAACTAATATTATTATAACTATAGTTTAGAAAGAGTATATAAAGATTATTAACTCCTAACTTAATATACTAATTATAAAGGGGATTATAAAAATATTAATAATAAGTACTTACTAAGGATAAAGAGAAACTATAGTAAAATTATATATCCTATTAAAACTTAGAAGAAGAATATTATCTAGAAAAATATAAAAGCTAAAAAAATTATAGAGGAAAATAACGCTATAAAATACCCTATAAAATAAATATAATATATATTACTAACTAAGATATAGAGCTATAACTATTTTTTATTACTAGTTAAAGAAGTAAAGTTTAATATCTTTAAAGTTTTAAGAGAAAATTACTCTAAAAGTAGTACTACCTCTACTCCTATAAAACTTAAAACCTTAATTACTTCCTTACTAAATAAATAGAGGATTTATAGTCTTTTAAGTAAATATTACTAGATGTTTAGATATATATAGCTTTATACTATTATATAGGTATAAAGCTTATATTAACCTAATATTTATATAGGAGCTTTAGGTCTCTATATATACTAACCTTAATAAAGGACTAAATAAAACTTATATAATTACTAGATACTTATTATATAGCCTAAAACTTACTTAGATATACTATAATAATTATCTATAAGTTCTTATATATATTAAAGATTTATACTAATATCTTAGTATAACTTAAATTATACCTTAGCTATATTAAGATATAATAAGACTTATTATTAGTAATATTTTTTACCTTAATATCTATAGAGATAGTAATAAACTATATATCTTAACTATACTTAAGTAATAAACCCTATTAGCTAAGTTATTTATAATAGGAGACTTTAATATTATATACTTAGTATAATAGCTAGATACTAAACTAAATATAGAAGTATTATAGTTCTAATACTAAGTTAAATAATATAACCTTATAGTTATAAATAACCTTAAAAAGTAAATATATAATATTAGAAATATTCTTAACCTTATTATAATAAACCTACTATTAGTTAAAATATAAATATTAAGCTACTAATATATAGGCTTAGATTACTATATACTTATTTTAGTAGTTTCTAATATATTAAATCTTAGTACTAAACTATAAGTAACTAATATACTTAAATACTACTTATTTAGAAACTATATTATATATTTTATAGAAGAGATTAAAAACCTTTTATAGGTCTTTAATTTATCCTTAGAAACTAAGGATAATCTTAATAAGCTTATAAGAGATATTTTTATAATTTTCTATATTATATTTAGAGCATTGACTACTATATACTACAGTACTATAGGACTATATGTAGTTGTAGTATGTAGTATACTATAGAGTATATAGTTGTAGTATATAGTATACTATAAAGAAAAAGTCTATACTATAACTATACTATATACTACTGTAGTTATAGTATATAGTATACTATATACTACATAACTACATATTAAAAAAACTATAAAAGTATAGAATAATAGCTTTTAAGTAAATATAACTTCTTATTATTATACTCCTAGAACTGCTAAGTATTTCTAAGTACCCCCGAATAGGAAAAATAATAATATATCACTTTATATTTATAAAATTCTAAATAATTCTTTAAAAATCTAGGAAAATATAGGAAAAATCTAGTTTTAATATATTAAGTATATAAAGTACTAAAGACAGTAATAACAGTATATTTAACCTAAAAAAGCAATCCTAACCTATACTATATAACTAAAAATACTTCTTATAAAAGCCCTGCTTTTCAGCCCATCTCTGATGCATTTTTAAAGCTATAGAGGTTAAAAAGCCCCTCTTACACTTCTTACATTCAAATCTAGCTTAAATTTCCCCTGAAAAATCTATATATTTAGATTTTTCTTGAGGCTTTTTAATATTAGTATATTTAAATATATATTAATTAAATAAATAATAATAACTTATAGAGAGGGATTAGATCTGAATTTCAAGCCTAGGAGACCTTCTAGGCGTCTAAATAGGCCTATTTTTAGGCGTTTAGGGAGGGGTAGAGGGTAGAATCTCAGCAGGCGAGTTAACCTAGTTTTCAAAGGAATTTATATTAAATAAATCCTCAGAAAATCTAGGAAAATCGCTAATTAGCTTAGAAAGGTCGAAAAGGTCCTAATTAGCGTTAATTTCAGCCTTAAAAGGCTGAATAGTAAGGGAGGGGTTAAAAGAAGGCTTTATAGTAGTAGAATTAACTGTAGAGCTAATAAAGCTAAATAGCTAATCACAGAAGGCCTCAGGGGCAGAAGTGGGGTAAGAGATAGGCTTTGAACCTATAGAATCAGAAAGAGAAGCTATTTTAGTGCTGAATAGTGGTGCTTTAGCTTGAATTACTTAAGGATTAGAAGAGATATCGAAGGGGGAATAAAAGGAGTTTAAATAGACGTTTTAATCCATATTAAATCTAAACCACCTCTGGAAATTAAGAAAATACCACTGTTTGAATCTCCAGAATCAGAGCATTCGAATGATGCAGTTTTTGCCTAGATTACCTTATATATAGATGTTAAATAACCAGTTGAGAAAACAGGATTATTAGAGTAGTATTCTAACTGCTGGTTTCTCACCGCTACTTTACCCTTATTAATAGTAGAGATAACGCTAGGTTTCTTCTTAAATTTAAATAATAATATTTATATATATATATAAAATACTGAAATAATTCTCTTAAATTACTTAGTATATATTATATATATAGTTTTTTTTTT